TCTACCGCCAAATGACCCAGCTCCTTCGCCACAGAAGAAGCACAGACATTGTAGTGCTGGCTGGGGATCTGAATGCTCAAGTTGGAAAATTATCCACAGATGAGCTGCATCTGGGCGGCCAACATGGTGTAGGCTCCCGTAACGATAACGGTGAGCGGTTACTTCCTTTATGTGAGGATGCTCGCTTATTTCTTGCGAGCACTAATTTCAGACACAGCACCCGCCGAAGGGTGACTTGGCACCCACCAGCCTCGAACCAGCCTTGGATGCAAATCGATCACATCACGATAAGTTACCGATGGAGAGGCTGCGTCCAGAACTGTCGCTCGAATTAGAGCGCAGGTGTGGACACCGCTCATGCACTTGTGTATGCTGACATGCGGATGCGTTTTGGCGGACGCCCACGACGACGTTGTGAGCGCATTGACACCAGCCAACTGGCGAAACCAGCTGTCCTGAAAGCGTATCGAAGTACGCTGACATGCGAGTTGGGTAAACGCTCACTGGATGCAATTGAAGCTCATTGGTCTCATATTCACTAGACTTTACTAGCATCAGGAAAATCCTCATGTAGTGTGTCTTATAGCCAACATGGACATTGGGTTGCTTTGCAGTCTCTGGAGCTTATGGATGCTCGCCGGCATATTCCGGCTGGAAGTGAACACAATGAAACTCGCAAAGAGCTCCGGGCAAAACTCCGTGGTAGCCTGAAGAGAGACCGAGAATCCTTGTGGTCTCATCGTGCATCAGAGATGGAAGTGGCCACTGCCCTTGGTAACCATCGTAATTTATTCCGTCTGATACGGGAAACGGGCAGCAGGAGACCTAGTGTTAGTGAAACTATACGTGACGTGTGTGGACAGCCTAACCACAATTTGTCAAAACGTTTGGAGCGTTTAGCTGAGCATTTTGCAAAGCAATTTAATCGGCCGTAATTGTTCGATTCTTCGTCGGCCAGTGATCGCCCTGCTCCGTTGGCTGTCCCTTTGGATCCACCCACTCGCTCAGAAGTCGAACGTGAGATCGAACTGTTGAAGTTAAATAAAGCCGCGGGACCATCCAGCCATCCAGCCCTCTTCAAATTCTGGGGACCTGCTCTTGTGGATGATTTACACGAGTTAATATTGAAACTGTGGGAGCGGGAAACTGTTCCAACGGGTTGGAGCTGCTCCGTCGTAGTCCCGAATTTCAAGGGAGGCTCACGATCAGAATGCGGCAGCCATAGAGGTATCAGTCTGATCTCCATCGCCTCCAAATTACTCGTCTCCATATTCATTCACAGACTGACTGGCACTCGTGAAAGCCAGATTCGTGAGGAGCAAGCTGGATTTCCTCGGGGTCGTGGCTGCATCGACCAAATCGTCACCTTGCGTCGATTGTTGGAGCACCGTCACACATATTGGCGGCCCACCGTAGTCGTGTTCCTCGACATCAAAGGTGCCTACCATTCGGTTGATCGATGTGCCCTTTGGAATTGTCTACTTAGGAAAGGTGTCCCTGAGAATTATGTGAATATTATCCGATCATTATACACGCGTAGCTCGGGCAGAGTGAGGGCTTACGGCAAGTTGTCGTCGCCGTTTAATATCTCCAGCGGTGGGAGACAAGGATGCCGGTTGTCACCTTTCCTCTTCAACTTCGCTATTGAGGAAGTCATGGAGATTGCATCTACAAGACATGACTTGGAAGGTGTGGAGCTACTCCCAGGAGAACGACTTCTTGACTTAGGGTATGCTGATGATATTGCCCTAATCTGTGACAGCTCACAAACGTGCAAAGCGGCACTGGACAGATTATCACAAGCTGTTCGTCACTTCGGGCTTTGCTTTACACCCTCGAAGTGCAAAGCGTTCCTCCAAGGTTGGTCTGGACCGCTTCCTACGCTGACCCTTGGTGGAGATCAGCTAGAAGTCGTTCAGGAATTCAACTACCTGGGAAGTTGTATCAGCGCCCTTGGGATTGAAGATGAGATCACGAACCGTATATCAAAAGCTCGAAGTGCTTTTGCTAACCTTCGCCACTTATAACTCCGGCGTGACAACACTCTTGCCCTGAAGGGTGGAGTGTACAATGCAGCAGTACGTTTGACCTTACTGTACGGCTGCGAAACCTGGCCTCTAAGATCAGCGGACCTGAAGAGTTTAGTTACCTACGACCACCGGTGCCTTCGCAATTTAGCTCACATCTGGTGGGAACACCACGTGAGCAACGAGCGTGTTCGACACCTTGTTTACGGCACAGAAAAAGGAAATGAACCGCTCAGCACCGTCATTTCACGCACCCGACTCCGATGGCTGGACCACGTTTTACACATGCCAGCCCACCGACTCCCGCGAAGCGCGTTGTTTGCTCGCCGTGGATGTGGATGGAAGAAGAGAAGGGGTGGCCAAGCGATGACTTGGTCGAGAGGAATGAAGGCCCTCACTTCTGAGCTGGCCTCGGTTGGAGCGTCACGGCTCCCTGGTTGGGGTCCGAAAGACGATGAACATGTTTGGCTGGATACACTTGCTAACATGGCAAGGAGCCGACCTCAGTGGCGTTCGTGCTGTGAGTTTCTTTGTCCCACCCCATCTCTCTTAGCCTCCCCCTCCAACCACGATCTCATTATTTAGAGTTTTATAATTTTGCATAGCAATGTTTTTCTCTGATGCATAGTAGCCGGCTGGTAGCTTACCGGAACGATGCCCATCCGTTACCGGTAGCTCAGCCATCTTTCACCAGTTTCATTTTTTCTCCTTTTTTTCTGTGTATTGCGGCACAGTAGCTGAGGTTTCCCTTACCTCTGGCTAACGTGTATGATGATGTTGATGATGACACTCTATGAAAATTATCGAAAATAATATTCTGCGCGCATTTACTGTCGTCTGACTCAAATGGGAATAACTTGTGCGCTGAAAACAAAAAAATTTCATTTTCCAGCAAGCAATTGTTCTCGCAATTGAAGCATCACTACTTCTGGGTAGATTAAGAAAAGCAATGGAAAGAACGAGCTTGAGTTATGATAACAAAAGGTACAGTTAAGTAGAACGTTAGCTTTCGACCCCGTAAAGAAAATCAATACTGTACTTGCTGGAACAGTAGGTAGACCGTGTGAGACCTCTTTTAGAATCTTGGATGCCGAATTAAAGCACGCGTTAAAATACTTGGTAACCACAAAATCTACGGGGATTCTCTGCTTAATCCAGAGCATCGGGAAGTAAATTGTTGTGATCACGCAGGCACAGTTACTCCTTTTGAAGAAATCCGGACGAAATAGCAGGTGAACAGTGCAGCCCATGGGGAGAAAACATGCATTTACAAACCCTAGAATTAGTGCACGTGGTACGGAGAGCATTTTGAGTCTAAGTAAGTAAAAGAAAATCTTCCGACGTTTTGTAATGATTAAGAAGTATGTGCCAATCGGGATAAATTCTAAGAGACAACACCGAGACACTTTACCGGCAATAAACGAGGGATGATTTAGTCACGAACGACTAAGGGAGAGATAGTTTAGAGCGAACGCTATCTGTCGATGTGGACACAAGGGAATGTGATATCACAACGAGGTAGGGGACCCGATAACTTCACCAATTCAAGAGTTCGTCTAATCCTCGTTGGGGTTTCGAAGAACCCTCAATTATTGGCACCCTACTCTTCAGGATGACGTCAGCAGTCGATGAAACTGGTTAATATGGGTAAGTACCGGGGGAAAACAAAACCGCTGATAAAATAGTTTTTTGCAAGCCCCAACAACTGGCTGGGATTGCCGAAAACCTTCGACCGTTTAACTGCAAGAAGTGTCTGCAATTCGAAAATACGCGTTACATGACATTACATACGTAGGGCGGAACACCGTTTCCGAACAAATGGTGTAATAGTAACGATCCGCCATGGTTGGAAAGTGCATTAGTATACTCCAGGAATAGGAGCCGCACAAACTTGCATTTTTTTCTCAAGGCGGATGCAATGGCATAGACAACATACGAAACGGAATCCAAGGTAGAGTCAAAGTGTTTGTTCTCATTCTTATGACCGCTTGTAAAACTGCTGGAATTAGTAATTTTTCAATCACATTCAGCCGCCTGACGGTGCAAGCTGTGAGCCGATACTTCTATGAATCCTTCTCAAGCACAGGTGTCATTCTGGCTGCGTTCCAGCTATCGGCTGGCACAGTCGTTAAACATCGGCTGAAAATCTCTGTCAGAAGTGAGTGAAGTGCATCCGCACACTCTATCAGAACCATTGATGACAAAACCCCAGGGCCGATAGCCTTGTTTGGCTTAACTTTTGTGAGTTCCCTGTAAACACTGATGTGGTTAAATGAGGTGGGAAGATCAGTGACTGCAAAGGATGATATATGGAGAATGTGTCTCTAGGATGAGTGGTTAAACTATACGTTGAGCTGATCCACACACAGTACCGTGTGCGCTATTGGTGAGTTGCTTCAGGAGTCTCCATAAGTCACGGCAACTGTAGTTTCCTAATATATACACATTTAAAAGTTGTCTAACACTTTTACTTCCACATTATGGTCAGACAGATATTTGACATAGACTGTTAGCCAGTGTTTCTAAACCTGATCTTTTTTCTGCGCAGTCACTTGAGTAATAGAGATAAAAAATCTATCAACAAGAAGATAAATGGTCTCAAAAGGGTACTACGGATGGGAACAAAAATTTACTATGGTTTGTGAGGTGCTCTGATTAAGTGGACTGGTCATCAGTGGCGAAAACTCAGTAGCCGGTTGAATAGAGTGTCGATTGGTACATTGCAATTTTTTCCTTTGTACAGTTTCGCCGCCTACCAGTTGCGTCATGCACGGCTCAAGGAAAAGTGACAGCTGTCTAGTTGTTACCCCGCTAGACGAAGTTACAGACTACATGGGTCCGAAGGGATGGAATCAGTGTCTAAGCAGAATTTTGTTGTCCACCATTATTATGTTATGGTTTGCTAGCCGAAGCAAAAAGTAGAGTGGAAAAAATAAAACAACTCACAGATACACAGACCTACGATACACTCACTTTGGAAGACAGCAATTTGCAATTCGGCACCAACATGGTGTGTACCAGACTACCATTATTGATTAGTCGCAGTTCGATGGAGGTGGAGGTGAAGACGAATATGTATGGGCAGGAAATCACTGTGGAGCGTTGAAAAACCGGGATGTAGGTTGTATATTGAAAGTACTATAATGTGAACGCTAGAGTATTTGATACCAAGAAATAAGAGCAAACTTAGGCGACTCAAGAAAAAATGATGTGCCCTCTGCGTCTTGGAAATACGCGTGGTAGTGGGCAATGATTAAATGATGTATATCACATTTATTTACGTAGTTGTAGTGACAGCCGTCAAGCCTTGGATTGCGGATTCGAGTAAACACAGGACGGATGGAACAAGCTTTGCTGATAAGTTCTGAAAGACTGAAAACAAAGGTTTGTAAACAAACAACCCAAATTTAAAAAGCTACAATTTCAAGACATACTGAAATCATGAGTCCTTGATCACTTTCAGGTATATTTCAAGATTCTAAAGTATTCGAGCACATCGGAAACAATGTGCATTAGCTGTCCGATCAAGTGTGGCTGGGTGGAATTTGGATTTAAAAATTTGATCAAACTCCTATAATTCACCACTCTCCCTTATGAGTCAGGATACGTCAGAAGAAGCTTATCAAATAATACTAATGAAGTGATGGGAGTGGCCAATTGAAATGGCCGTAGTAGACCACAAAGGGGAACTTCAGAGCCAAGGGGTTTTGAGTCAAATAGACTCGGTCGTTGCTCACGCTGGAGATACTCCTTCATCTTCTCCATACCACTTCATGTCAGACAGCGTTTTGCGGAATCAATGGCAGGAAGTTTACTCGCTGCAATACCTCCAGTGGCGTCCTGGCTTATGGTTGGAGTCCAAATGTGTTTCTTGTGATATAAAAGTAACCATTTCGTCTTTGCACGAGGAATCGTTTATCTGATATGCCAGCATTTGCTACGCCGAGTCAAAAAAAAGTCAGGAATAGGCTGAGAAAGTGTTTCATTGAAGGAGATCATCAGCCAGTGTACCGGGTCCCATCATGCTACGCAAGTAATTAAATTTATGGGAACACATTTAGTCACAGTTGGTTTTCAGGATAATGTGCAGATCCACCTATTCTTCATTTGTGTAGCAATAAGTAAGCATAGATGAAAATATTTTCTCTGATTAATCACGGTGCAGTAGAATTATATGAATCAGCCACTGGGTGGCGGCGTGATGATTTGTGTCGGGCTGTGATGTATGGGTTTGACAACGCAGCTTTAAATCCTGATATGATCGGTGATCACGAGCCATTGTCTGACGGGCGATGCACGTGACTCAGTTTGAATAAAAGCACGTGGTAGGAAACGAGCTAACTTGGTCGTGCGGGTCCACATTTGTGTCGTTTCCATACAATTTCTAGATTCGGATCCCCTCTTGTATGGTTTTGGGTGTGCCTGCAGTGCCTCGGCGAGGAACACCGGTTTAAGGTGGCGAAGCAACGGATCGGAAACATGTTTACGAATGAACAGAAATGAACTAACTCCTCCTGGACTCTGCAAAGCGCCACGTATGGACGCTGCGCAAAAGCTTCCACAACACGTCTTTTACGGTAGCGCGTCCTGCACCATCTGACTAATGAAAGAAGCTTGGGCACCATCGTTCAAGAAATTCTGGGTATTTCATTTCAATTTTCTAGGGCATCAAATGTGGCGAACTTGAACTGAAGGCTTTTGAGGCGAGATTCTGATATCTTGGACCGACGGATTGAACCTTTACGAGTAATTTTTATCCAACTTGCTAAGTCGAGTATACCGTTCAGGCATGGCGTCTATGGTCAAAAGGAAATATTCGTCTCTTGGAACAGCCTCAGAGAAAAGTCACTAAAACAACATGTGGACTATTTGGTCTCAACTATAAGACATGTTTCCGTTGCAATAATAAGTTCTCCTTAGAAAATCGATGGCGTCGCGGAAATTTCACTCTGATATACCGGATAATAACAGAAAAAGATCATCCATGTTACTTATTGCTGACTCCATCCTTTTACAAAAAAGCCGAAGCCACCACCCGAAAGTAAGGTTACAACCCGCTTGGCCTGTAGTATATTTTTATTCTCTTAGAGTCTGTTCACACTGGAATGCATTACTAGCATTTGAGGCGAACGTACCAAACCTAGCCACATTGGCAAATTTAAGAAGCTTTTATCTAACTGATGAACACTATACAACAGCACGACGCAGTGCCATCGTTAGTCTAATGAAGTTTCACGTTCCACGTCGAAGCAGTTTGAGTTGCAGGGAGACAGACATGTCAAAATGTGTAGCCAGCTGCGTCATCTATTACAAGGACATTTGTAAGGATACGTCCTGACGCAAAGATAGTATTGTCCTAGTACTCTAAGTATAGTTGGCGGTCACGGAATCGTAGTCCTGATACGGAAGCAACGGAAGAATTTGGGAATAGACTGTGAAGGAACAGTTCCATCACGAATTTACGCTGACTGTGAGAAGGCTGATTTACCAATGATCTGGGGCTTTGGATTCTCCCAACTTGAGTTAGTGCATAACAGAACTGTGAAATGTTCTTTGAAATACTTTTCCCTCTTACATCTGTCGCCATATATAAAAGGTCTTCTGTTAGCCATCGCCTTGAAAAAGAGATCGCACTGGTCAACGTTAAGAATTTCGTCGTCCTTGATGAAATTGGAAAATATTTTGATGAAGTCTTGAGCGAACTTTTCAGGCGCTTCCTTTGATTCATCACACAAAATTGTGAGGGAAATTTCTTGTCACAGTTCAACTTTCTCTAGCCAAACATTGCATGCTCCAAATTCTTGTGAGAACCTTTTAGCGAATTTTTGAATCATAGGCTCAGAAATTCAAGCATTGGCTTCCCACATTTGTTTGAACGAGGGCAGCAGCGTAGCTTCACTGGGTTCATCATGTGAAGATTGCCGTCTTTTTCGCTGTAGATCTCCTTTTTCATTATTGAATCTTTTGAAGTACCCATGTTTATGTCTGGAGGTTGTTAACTGTTGTCTTGCTGACACCAAAACGCTCAGCCGTCCTTCTTTGGCTATCGCTTTCAAGCAAATGCAGCAGTCTAGTCATTTCCTTCAAAGTCAACACTGAGGTCTTTTCTTTGGGTTATAATGTTGTGTTATTTGTAATGACCAATTCTAAATTGTTCAAAGCACGCAGTAGATCTAATGTTTACGGATCTATTTACGTAACATTAGTTACACAAATAACTAACCTCAATTGGTTTCACCCTCTGGCCGACACCAAGTATAGCCGGATAAACGCTGGACAATTAATATGGGACTAAACCTCAATCTTGCCACAAACCAAGGTGCTAATGAACTGGTGCTTAGAACTGGTGGTCAATTGTGTAGTTAGCACAGTGGCGTAGCAGATGCTTTTGCCGCCCGTTGCGGTGGTAAAATGTTCAGAGTAGGCGCGCGAAGGTCACACAATCGGCTCGGGGTAAAGTGCGCACAAGTTTTTGATGTAATTGATGATTGTTTGGGACACTGAGGTACATGCGGCAAAAGTGACCGCAATGGGGCAAGTGAGTGGATCGTTGGGAAGTACGTTCGCACGGGCATGACAGATAGCGCAAATGTGTTGTTCGTCATACAGAGTAACATCAAAACATTCAGCTCTCAGCTTTTCTGGATATGTTACACTTTATATTTGATATCGAACAATCGACGGTACTAAAAATGCCGCCCCCTGTCCCCTCCATGCTACGCCCCAGCTTGCACGGCCAACAAAGTCTGTTTTGGTATAGGCAGTGAGTTGTCTGATATAACTGCTGTTATTGGACAGTTACCAGAGCGAATATGACGGAACGAATCGACCAGGCGAGTTGAACGGATATCAGGCCAACAGGTCGAAAGCTAACCGATAGCCACGACGCACGCTGACCTTAATCACTTGAGGTGCCATAAAGCACATAATTGATTTAGATTGACACGAGTGAAGCTCAAGTGGAGGAAATACGCTAGAATTCGATTAAATCAATTTCATGCGTGTTGCAAGATGATTTCTTTATTCACGAGGAATAGGTTTTACACGAGGCCCTCGCTTCGCTGTGATTTTTGGAGGACCACACTCGATGCCATCTAAAGCCAAACAGAACCACAAACACACGAAGTCAAAAGAACTAAGGGCATTCTTCAAGTCAAGAGCGAGCTCCAGGATAAGTCGTTTGTGAGTGGGACGGTTCCCAAGTGCCAGTACATCCACCTCCAGCGTAAAAGCCATCCGGACACTCGGAAAATCGTCTGTCACGAAACACAGTGAACCATCGCGTTACGACGCGAGCGACTCTCTTCGTGTCGACTAAAGGTGGATTGTTACCGCAATGATTTTCACAGGACCCCCAGCAGATTTTTGACACAGTATCGGGCTGAGCGAAGTGTTCCCTTGTCAACTGAGTGTCACTGGTTTGATAAGTGAAAGTTCGTCAACAACCTTGTACGTTGAGTTATCGGAAATAAGACTATGCTTGTTTTGTGGCTGACATTTACCGATAGACGTGACCTTCGAGCGCAACACACATGGTATGTTCAAAAATTTTAATGACGTTTCATCGAAAGTATGTTACTTACATTGACCTGTGTCTCAATGTGAATTTTAATACTGCAATCGCAGACGCAAATAAACCCTCTCCTATTTACCATTAGCATCTATACAGAAAGTAACCATTGGCTTTGGTGGGTTACTCTATAACCGTACAATGGGGCCGTTGCACAAAAAGCTGGCAACGGCAATAATCACGGTTACAACCAGTATAGGTGTTGCGGATTAAAACCTGCTGATTCTGTCATTCTTCAACTTTTCGTGTCAACTTTGTGGTGAACACCTGCAACTCTCACACGGGGTGTCATTAATCTCCTATCTATTCGCTATTTTTCGCCTCTTACTTAGACTGTACAACGGTTGGGTTGTCATCAGCGTACACTTACTAAATTCCATCGTACATCCATAACCCGAGTGTCGGCGCACGTCACGACTACGTGTATGGTAAGCAAACACTATGTTTTACATGTATCTGAACAGAACTGAAGTTGACCCCCATTCTAATCATAAATATTTCGTATCGAGCTGATGCTGTGCGCTTTCATTTGCGTTTTTCAGACTAACCAATCTGTTCGGGCTCGACATTCCAGGTGAAGTCGAACTCGGTTCCTTTGTGTCGATCGATCGAGTTGGCCAACGACCAGGGTTGTATGCTTGGACCATGAGCCTCTGGTGACAGCTGTGAGTTCGGCGGACTCGAGGGTGCTGTACACGGACCGATCGAACAGGCCGGAGCAGATGAAGAACCTTGCTCGAACAAAGGCGATCGTGGGTTGGACGTGCTCGATACTGGCGGATTGCTGTCCGAACTGAGTGAGCTAGGCAAATGCATTTTCCTGGTAGAGCAGCACTGTAGTTGTAAAGACGATATTTTTTGAAAGTGACATGTTCCTTAATAATGAAGGAAAGAGACAGATAAAGGAATCATAGCGGTGGCATCAAGGGGGTGCATAGTAGTAACAATTTAGTCTTCAAACAGATTAAAATGGGTTGGATGAAGCATTCGTTCTAGGGTGAACATCGTCATCAAATATTTGTGTGGTACCAACACGCGGGAGACAACTTCAACTTCTGAGATACCGTCGTCAACAGGCCCTTGACTAGCCGCGGTGACAAGAAACCTGCTCGTCCTGCCATCATCCATCCTACAGGATCGTGAACGCGTTCGAAGAGTGCCGTGTTGTAAGCAGACTTCACGGATTCCCTCATCACTCCAACAAGACTATTGCCCCTACTTCGACAGAAGCGAAAGTTGTGATATCATATTCAGATATTTCATCATCTTGTATATATATACAATTCAAGTTAAACTAAGCCTTATATACACACAAATGGGTGCCTTATCAGCACTGTACATTAAAATTGGGGATATTCTACAAGTTCACAATACAGAAAAGTATAAATTAACAGAGAAAAAAAGGAAATTGCGTGTTCGCTCAAGCATGCAGTTGGGCAAATGGTCAAGGTCGAAGAATACGCGCGAACTATCTCGAAAAATGGAATTGCGATATGACGAGTTGCAATCAAGAATAACTTCAAATTTTGATCAAGTAAAAGCAACAGAGACCTTACTCGCGACAACAGTGTGTAAGAAGTGAAGGGGGTCGTTTCGAATCAAGGACGAAAGTTTGAAGCATGTTTCAACTTGCATGCTGAAGACGCAGTAAGGGATTCTTCCTTAATTTAGAACATCTGAAAATAACTTTTAGTGGGTACGCAAAAATAGTGCAATCAATTTGAAGAGCTTTGTAAAAAGATTTTGAGAACCATAGTGTGGATGGGGAGTATACATAGTGTTACTAACTTCATAATTTGAGCCCTGGGTATGAAAAACATTTTGGGCCTGAGAGGGTAAACAGTCAACGGATTTGACAAAAATTTAACAATGTGTCTACCAGGAGATACTGTAACGCAAGCACACACCGAGACAGTTTACAGTGGATGAACGAGCTTGGTTGTAGACAGCCAAGACCAAAGGAGAAGTGTTGTTTGCAAGGGAACGCTGCCTGTCGAGACGGAGAAAACAGAACGTCACATCACACCGAACGGAGTAGTTAATGAAGTGGAGCCGGAAGCTTGACCAATTCACGAGTTTGTTCAAATCTCGATGAGGTTTCGAAGGGCCATTGATTATTAAGGTTATGCTTAGTGGAACGAAGTGCTTTTCCTAGTTACCTCTGATGAAAGTGGATCACGTGGTAAAATTTCCAATCTTGCGGGAAACTTGAAAAGGAGTTGACGTAGATCGTTGCGAAACATCAAGCAGCTTGGAAAGCAGAAGGCTTTCTAGTACAGAGTCAAATGAAGTGTGTACGCCTTGTGAACTAGTCAAGCGCAATACCGCATATACACGGGGGAAGGGTATTTCCAAACAAAGGATTTTGTAATTCCCCACTACGAAGGACCGGAAAGACACAATCAAGAAATAGAAACCGTACGGTTTTGTATTTCTTAATCAACGCAAATCTTGTGGAATGCACAAAATGCGGAGGCGGGGCCTTCACATTCGGCCACGCTCTACCATTCCCGTCCGTTTAATTTACGAAAACAATCGTTCTCATCTTTTAATTGTAGGTTGCAACCTTACTATTTTTATTTATCGCTCCTTTTATGAAGATCTACTCGCGTGGTATGTTGAAATGGATATGTTTTCACGCTTGTGAATCGTACCTTTTCCATTACCCGTGTAATATGAAACAGTATGAGAAGAATAGATGCTAACCACGCGAACTCTACAAACATCAACTAGCTGGATGGAGGGTCGCTATTCGAAAGAAATAACTCGGAGATCTGAAAGTGCATGTATTGTTTAGCGTCATGATCATTTCGCTTTTCGGCACATTGGTTGAACTATCGTACACCACCTTTTCTAAAGCACTTTCGCAACCAGGGTGCAGTAATTTGCAAGAAACCCGGCTCCAAGAAGAATCGGATGATGCTGTCGGATTCAAAGGAGAATTTGTTTTCTATCTGGTTGCCCGCACATGCACGCACACAAACAGAGGTAGTGAAGATTTTATTTACACGAATCCATCTTACTGTATTGTAACAAGGTGCGTCCTTTGTTTCTCTACACACTTTGTAACTGTGTAGTCCTACAAAGCAAGCCGAAGTGTTTGAGTGGCTACCGTCCAATATTGTTGGCTAACATCTAGGTAATCTTCCACCTGTCCTAAACTTGAAACAGAATTTTTACGATGGTTTTACATCGTCCGTCATTGAACACACTGACCGATCTCTATGTATCCTCGCTGCAGATTTCAACAGATCTGACCACTTTGCTCACTACCATCGGGCTAAAGAACTTCGTAAATTTACCCACAAGTTTGGACGCGACCCTGGACTTTGTGTTCGTTTATACTGTGAAGTGGTTCCCTGTACGTCATCGGGCTCCGATTGGCAGTTCCGGCCGCAAAACAATCAAGGTTTCTCCTGTCATTTATGGCAAAACAAAACACCAAGATATCATTCGTTGCAATCATGTAAGCTTCAGGTAGATGCAGTGCTTTTCATACAATATCAACCAACTTCGTGGAATGGTTGCATCTACAAAATTTAATTTATTCTTAGACCCTGACCTTTCCATATATTATGCCAATTTGATTAGCAATCTAAATTGTTATTGTGACATCTGCTGTCTTTGGGAGACTTTCTACTACCGCATTGATAGCTTCTACTCCCACCTGAAGCGGCTGCATCGATTTAAGGAGAATTTGTTTAAAGAAAAGGACGGCATTTCAATGAGGTCTTTTGCTATTCGTATCAACGAAGAGCTACGCCGTTTTTGTAGGCGAAAGAAACGCTTGGAATAGCCGAACAACTGGTAGGTAACCGTTCCGCAACCTCCAAGTTAGATTCAGTGAACAGCAAAAGACCGGAACTGGAACGACCCTGCCAGTACAACGAAAAGCCACAGTGGACGTTGGAATATAATGCTGTTGAAAACAATGAATATTGGATAAATATTGGTCCAAAGCCCTATCAGATTTACAACTAAAGTCCTGCTACTCATGAGTAATATAAAATAAGCATAGCCTCTCCTAGTTTCAAATGCTGTAGATAAAGCGTCTAGTGAGAGGACGTCATCACCTTACAGGCTAAGCATTGTCAGTGACAGTGGTAGATAGGTGGTGCTATATCCCAGTTAGTTGCAAATTATGTAGCCTAGCCAACGTCCCACATGGCTCAGTGGCTTAAGTTGCTGGCTAGTTGGCATCTGCCTCTAGCAGTCATGGGTTCCTTCCTCCTTAGAGGACCGAAGGAATACTCGCCACTGACGAGCCCCAATAAGGCAAAACGCTTCTGGCGCTTTTCCGGACTAGGCTCTGCTATGTAGCTCGTGAACTGTTGGGATGAAACCTTTAGCAAGTATTGCAATCGCAACACACTTCAACGATATCCCCAAAATAATGAGTAAACACAGAAATCAAATATCTGGTTACAAAGACAGCAGAAAAATAAAGCGGCATCAACCTAAAACGCGTAATAATGGTATGATCAATGGAAGCATCAGGAAACTACGGCCAAGGGTCCAATCATAAAAACTAAGAGGTGGGAGGTTGAGTGGGACGAGATACAATTGGGTGAGAAAGCCTGATGGAGCGATAATGTGTCAGTTATACAAACCAAACATGCCCGTCCTGAAGTTAGGGACACGAGCGGTGCAGTAGCACATTGTGGGTCAAACGCATGTAGGGGCGTGACAACGTAAGCTCGATGCGGTGGCTGTGAGCTCGGCGAGAGACTGTGACGTAGCACATGCAGAACAAAGATCGATACGTTAGAAATCAAACAATGGGGAGCTCGTGATACTGTGGTTGTGGGGATGCAAGTAAGAGTTCGGGAAAAAGAAACAAGACACATAGGAATGGGTACCGAGTTGCATGTGGAAAAGCGGTAGGTGAACAATGGTAGGTAATTGTAAGCTTAACAAGGGGAAACTCAGGGAATCGCGTAGTAATCTTGGGTTAGGTGCAGTGTAATTGCAATTGAGAGAAATGAATGTTATAGTTTTAATCAAGTGTATGTTCAGTGCATTCTTGGAAACAGCAGCTGTCACAATCTCTGGAGTATGCTGAAACACCTCAGCGGAAGTATTCGACACGCGCCCTGTTTAAGTACGAATGCTGAAGCATTGAACCATGAGTTCTATATCTGCAATACTAACAGAGTCAGAGACCCTTTCTTTGCCATCGTACCCGGCTCTGTAGGCGCATTGCCTTCATCGACGGCGTAAGTGTGCATAGTTTACTAAAATTCTTACGTTCTGGTTAAGCTAATGGTCCGGACTGTCACCCATCGTACTCAAAATATGTCCTGATATTTTGGCAGCTACGCTTTTGTCTGTATACGCAATGTGCATGCAGCAAACCGAAATCACTGACTATTAGAGTGGTGCCAGCATTACACCTTGCCGAGAAAGAATCTAACAAATACCAACCTATAGCTTACACTTCTGTTACCTTGAAGGTGCTGCATCCATTTGTACTTGAAATGATGCGGTGCGTAACTCACTTTAATGATCCCCTTCAATTCGCTTATCGAGGTTCAAGATCCACACTAGATGCCGTGGCCTGCCTCGTACATACTGTACCGACATCGTCTGACAACAGTACAATGAACAATGAACAAAGAATTTATACGGGTTAAGAAGCGTTGCTTTACAAGTCCCGTTGGATGGTTGCAGGGGATATCAACATAACAATAATGATGATAAAGATAGGAAAATAGTTATACTTTAAATATGAAAATAAGAACTTATCGTTTGCTTCGCTGCAGTCCTGCGATCCTCTTAGGTTCACAGCATCCACAGTTAACAACAAATAATTCCATGGTAAACTCCAGGTGTAGGATGGAGACGTAGTGTTAAGTAACAAAGTGTAAGTGGATGA